CTGTGGCTTTCAGCAAGTAATCATGTTGGCTAATTTGCTCTGCAGCATGCTTGCGCACGGGGTGAAGTAGGAAAATTATGCTGGTATTGGGCAATGCCGGGTTATTTCAGTCGTCCCGTCTCGGGCACATGCCACTGAAGGGAAGCGCAGCCGTGCACCACCAATTTTGTGCACCAATAAGTCCTGAATCGAACGCCTTGGATCTCTCCGGACATCCACCAATCAGCCGTGAACCACTCGGCTTTGTCCTCCTCCGGCCTTGCATAAAACCTGCCGTTCACCACCAAGCCGCGGATCGTATATGACTTCCGGGCATTGCTAAATTACGTAATTTTACGCTCACCGCATCTGAGGCTAGGTTTCAGATAGCATAGTTCTGTTCCAAAATTTATCATACATCGACGAGTGGCCGTTCGATCGAGGGCTGGGTCGACGTACGGCCTAGATATGATTGTCCAGAAGTGTTGAAGGCTACGTTCCGGAAGGCAGGAATCATGATGGTCCATTACATCCACGGCAGGTGACCCCCCACTGAAGCGGCTGGACAAGGCCAGTAGTGTGGACAGTTCAAGCGGCGGATTAACCTTTCGGCCAGTACTGTCCCCGTGTACAGGCACCTTTAAAACGGATGGATCAGTAGGAGAAGTGAATCAACCACAACCAATGAGATGGCATGAATGTGGCCTAGCCATACATAGGCCAGCCTCGGTGGGCGTAGACTAGCCCACAGGTTCTTCACGACATACGAAGCCTTCAATTTGATCACGCAAACAAAATACAGTCTAAATATAGTCGCTAAATATCATATCTGTATTCCCAGTTAATTATGCTGAACTTATGCACCGGAGAACGGATATTAGTGACGTATTGACCTCTCTATACTCTAGAGGATACTGGTGCTGGACACCCGCAATATTGTCAGTTTGGTCCTAATAATAATTTTACTCGTAACTTCAGTTGTAAAATGTTTATTTACGTGTAATCAGGATCATATAAATAAACGGTTAGCAAAAATTTACTGACGAGTTATGAATAGGCATTTCATAATTGTTGGATTACTGGAGTATTAATTAATTTCAAAGAATTAATCAAGTGAATTTCTCATCGATTACTAATGTCCCTATGTCCATGCATCGGTGTATTAAATTAGTGTAGTAGACTAGTAGTATTACCTATATCAATAATTAGGAACTATTTTCACAGAATTTAGAGACAGACAATTTTATAAAAGCATATTTGCAAGCCTCGGCAAAGTTAGTTGATGAAATTAATACAGTTAATTTAAAGCAGTAACGTTGTACGTATTAATCGATTTATGAAAGTGTACAAAGAAATAAACGTCGTTTATGAGTACAAGGCTACCAGCGCGTTCACGTGTTGTACATAGGCGTTGTTGCTCATGCACAATGATTGGTAGTTATTTCACGAAGACAAATTTAGAAAAAAATGTACCAAAACTGAACGTGACCAGAAATATTTTCACGAATGTTTATATTCATGGATATGAGCATTGAGTAATCAATTTCATACACACAAAAAAAGATGCCGCTAAGACTGCTTATTTAAGGGGCAAGTGAATTAATGAAGAAAAGATACACTTATTTTGAAATCGTTTGGATGGAATAAGACTGCCTGAACAATTTAGAAAAAGTGAATAAAATAAATATTGTCTGATGACTCGTAATAAATATGAGGAATTGAAGTTCACTCTAATTATCATTTCACTGGTGAACAGCTCGCAATAATTGAGTTAATCAAAAAAATATCCGACATAAATCATAATGTAGGCCTTACATGTTTCAATACTGAAACATGAAAATCTGATATAGCTTGCCTCTTTCCGGGTATATCTGATGGTGCAAGTGATGGTCACTGCCCACTGGTCAGTGGTCATTGGTGCCATGCAGTGATGGTCAGCAGCAGCGTTTGCGCTGAGACTCGACTAGTTTGCTCGCTTCACCAAACGCCAAACGCACGCATTTGTTCCCGGCTCAATTGCTTAGGGTGTTTACCATTTATTCCGCAAGGCCAGCAGGACCGAAGCGGCGGCCGGCGCAGGCTTGCTGTCGCCCGCAGCTCCCGCTTAGTTACCGATAAGGCAGCAGCGAAGTAGGGTGTGCTTAAACGTGCATAAAAAAAGTGATAGTCCATAGCGCAAACCATGGCTCCTGTTCTAGCATACTGGGACATAAGAGGGGTGAGTATATTAACGTCAATGTCTGAAAAGTCTTACCTTGAGAATTGTAGAGCATATCGAAAATTCTCCGCAGGCTCTGCAATACGTTATCGGTTGTGCATTATTATTCCCTACCATGCCGTGATACAGCAAAATCTATTAGTACCTCGGGCTTGGGCCCGCTTGGCTCGCTTTCAATAAATATAATCTATAATGCACTACATAGTAAACCATGGATAATATTATATTTATTACATGGATAATTTTATATTATATTTAATAAACTATGGTATTTCAGCCAGTACCATTACGTTACCGTGAACGTTTTTATTGTACCGCACGAGATCGATGATGCTAAAAACAGGGGAATTTGCGAGAGCAAGTAAGTTAGTTTCGTTTAGGGTTAGTTCTGCCCTGCTCATCCCGCACAGCTTCATTTCATTTCTCTGTTCATGGGAAAAATTATTTTTCCTACTATCAAAATAAATTTAATAATTTCCTCGTCGACGCTTGGGTATCTGCAGGACGACTGAGGACGTGATGTAACGATTCGGGATGTTGCGGTAATATCAGATAACAGCTGATAAGCATGCGATCCTTCTGCAGTTCTGCTCATACCTTTCACTTTCTGTTGAAAGCATTTTGTAGAGTAGGTATTGTTGTCTTAACATACCTCACAGACGGTTAAAAGAATATGAATTTTTAAATTTACTTATGCTCTTAGTCTGAGAAATATATTGCACGACTCGATGAAACTGACCAAAGGTGAGAATTTACAAAGAAAATTATGATAAGTGGGATAGCTTGTAAGTTTTATTGTTACCGGTACCGTGTTTTTTCCATTGTTTTTACGGATCTAATTTTAAAATCGATGTCAAGAAAAATAATTTTCAGATTTAAACTCACTTTGATGTGTTATGCCGGGACTTACAACATATTTCATCATCTCCCATAAGTCACGTTTACAATTTTCACAAACATTTCTGAATGTTTGTGGTTTTCCGCACCGCAACGCTCAACTAAATAAAAGTTATATACTAAAGTTATTATTATAATAGCCTCATTTTTCGTAGATAATGTTGAGAATTTTTAGGACTAAAACGAAATGGTACCGTAAGAGCCCCGAATCCTCAGATACTGTTGAAACGTTAGGTGTTAAGGCTTGACTCCATTGCAGTTGGCTCAACCCATCCGCTTGCTGCTCGAGTATACGGGCACCAAGTTCGAAGACAAGTACTACGTTTGCGGTGAAGCTCCTAACTATGACAAGTCTTGCTGGTTCGACGTGAAACACACGCTCGACCTCGACTTTCCTAACGTGAGTATTTTTGTAAGGCTTAATATTCTTTTTATAGAATTTTACACTTCTGATTTCTTTATTTGACTGGACACTTCTAGCTGTTTTTAGCGCAGTTTCCCATTTATGGGAAAAAGGCGCTATTGTGCTCGTCATGTCCGTCCGTCTGTCCGTCCGTCTGTCCGTCCGTGACTTCACGTTTTCGTCGACGAGAAAATGCGCTCTCTGTCACTCACTGCAGTGAGTACTGAGTTATATTTTCTAATAAATGTAGCTGGGCAATAATGGGCATTACTAACGATTCCAACTGTCCGACTCCGAGTGATGGCAAGATTCTGGTCATGTGGCCAACTAGCGGCCGCCTGACTGGCCGAAAAAAAGTTAAGATTCATTCTCATGGTCTATATTAATGCATGACAAAATCAAATGAATCTTAAACTTAAAGATGCCTCGTCATTCTTTTGCTTGAGCTTTGAACATTAATTATTGAGGGCTATAGATGAACTTGGCTTTGTCTCGAAATAATTAGTGATAAATCAGCCTGTAAAAATAATTACGCGAGTCACTTGTTACATTTTTAGCGCATTTTCTCATTTATGAAAAAATGCACTCTTGTGCTCGCCATGTCCGTCTGTCTGTCCGTCCGTGACTTCATGTTTTCGTCGACGAGAAAATGCGCTCTCTGTCAATCACTGCAGTGAGTACTGAGTTATATTTTTTACTTAATATTTTGATTGAACTTTAATAGCATGTGAACCACAAACTTTGCAAGCACGATCCTAAATCGGCAATAAAGATTTGTATGGCTACAAGAATTTTTTAACTTTTCAGCAATAATTTCACATAAAAATCTACTTGTATAGTTAAATTTCGAGTAATGTCGTGATTCACTACGAATTGATTGGCGATCTTTGCTAATGACACTTGAAATTGTGATGGCAGGATGCGAAATGTTAATGCTAGTGAATAAAAGCTGTCACTTGAAGTCTTTCCGCGGTCTATAGCAACATAATAGAGGCAACAGAGGGGAAAATATTAAGGTCCCCTAATGAGTATAAGTGTCGTGCCAAAATCGCGGAATTGCTGATTCTATGGAATCGGCAGCCAGTTTGCCGAATTTGTAGAATCAGCATTTCTTTAATAATGGAATCTGGGTTTAGGTCAGACAGCTATGTTATTTATTTTTATATTTAAATATTAAGGAACTTGACCTAACCTTTTCTAACTCTTAACTGTCGATGTATGTTCTAACTCTAACGTCCGATTTTCTGAATCAGCAACGAAATGCTGATTTTACAGATACGGCAAACTGGCTGCCGATTCCATATAATCAGCAATTCCCCGATTTCGGCACGACATAAGCATAAACATACTGATTGATAACCCTAGTGGCGGCAACAAAATCTGGCAGCCACTGCTGACGCTGTTCTTCAGTAGCCGCTATAAACACTTGTCTTGTATTGCAGTTGCCATATTACATCGACGGCTCGGTGCGGCTGACGGAGAGCGGTGCCATCCTGCGCTACATCGCGCGTCAGCACGACCTGCTGGGCAAGACTGAGGAGGAGAAGTATAGAACCGACTTGCTGGAATGTGTCTTGAATGACTTCAGGAAGACATTTGTCTCGCTCTGTTATGGGGCTGATTTTGTAAGTGCTCGAGTAGCTGCCCCAACTTTGTATTACGTTTTGAAAATCGCCGAGCCCTCAGCATTTGTTTCTGGATTTAAGTTGCTCGATTAATGATTATTTATCTAATACGACTTTGAAGTAAGTAGTTTTGTTTAGTATATTTGCATAAAAATAAATTAGAAAGAAGTGTTTTACACTTCAATTAGCCAAATTCTTCAATAGAACGATTTTACTGTGCCTTCCTGATAGAATCCTTCTGCGAAGTTGCGAACATCAGGACAATTTCAGTATCTATGTGTTATACATCCGTGTTTCATTTTTTATATCGACATAGACTTGGGTTTCCTCTAAAATCTTTCGCAAACACATGCGTTAGACGCCTTAAATATTATTCTCAATTTATTTTCACTTAGTTGTATCAATTTTGTCCCGTTGAAACAATATTGATAACATTTGGGTTTGTAAGGCATATATCATTCCCGTATGGCGAGCCTTTATTTACTTGGCGAAAACTATGCTCAGAGAGACTTTTTTGAGCTTTTTTTTTTGTTTTGGTTTCGAAGATTCTATGTTTCTGCAAAACAAGTAATTATTTCATGAGTGCGATGTTTAGGAAATTAATCCCTAAATATGCCTTAATTACTTGGGCTTAGTTCAGGAGAAGTTAACTCGTTTGGTAAAAAATCAGGACAAGTTGTACTCGTTTCCTGCTTACTGATGCCCGAGTCACAATGAAGTCTGATCTCATGATGTGCCTGGGCTAACCTAACTAGTGTGGTCCTCAATGGATGAAAACGTGCAGCTCCTTTGCACAAAAATGTGCTATCTCCGTGTTAAAGAATTACAGGCCATTTCAGTGTAAAAAATGTGCCACCTTAATGAACAAACATCAGCGGTCCATGTGCACTAATGAAGCGTTAAAGTGAACATTTCGTAACCATCAGCGTTAGTCACTAGTCAGAAAACCACGAATGTAAAATTTGTCTAGCAATGTCTTCGGAGTCAAAATAATTTCAGAATTTATTTTCTAGTTTCATCACAGAGGAGTTTATTAGGCGATCACGATTGAAGTGGATATACTTGATAAGGTCACAATAAAGAGCTTTGGTAATTTTTTTCTGGCTAACCGTTACCTATTCTGGTGCAACGGGCACCTGGCCGAGTGCTGCCACTGGTTTAGGTTTAGGACCTGATGAGCCTTCATGCCATCAAAAGAAATAGGTAGGTAGTATATAAAGTGGAAGCGACACTGCCGTTGCTAAATCCATATTTTCCTTTTTGTCTAACATATGTTTTGCATACAGGAAACCAAGAAAACTACCTACCTAGAAACACTCCCGGCTAAGTTGAAGCAGTTTTCAGATTTTTTGGGTTCAAGGAAGTGGTTTTCCGGCGAAAACGTGAGTATGGAAAGCTTTTTACTTTGTCATGTCATGACTCATAAAATTCTAGCGGATGCAAACGAAATTATTTTTTTCCTTCAAGAGCGAATATAGACTACGGTTTATTATTATATTTATTTATACATGTCATTTTAAGAAACTCTTCGCAGGATTCTCACTTTTGACCAAAAAGAGAAAATTGTAGATTAGGTGAAGTTGAACACTACCGTATTTTTTTCACTTTTTTCCTTCCCTTTGTTACCCCTCGATCGCTTTCCCTTGGAACTTAGAATTAGAATTTCCCATGAACTTAGCTCCCCTGCTCATGTCCCTGTTAGATGCCTCGAGTCTCATTGTTCAGCTCAAACAGCAGGGGCCTTCTTCTCGTTTGTTGATAATAATAATTGAGGTTATCGCCTTGAGATAGGCGTTCTTTGAATCATCTAAGCAACCTAAGCAACTTGAGCTAAAATAAAAGATTATATACATTTATCTTATTTTGGCAAATTATGTATTAAACATTTCAATTATTGATTATAACCATCAGTAACAGTTATTTTTTTAACATCATACCTAACTGTCGTAGAGCAAAGTTGGTTTTTTCGGTAGTTAAACTTAACTAACTAAACATATTTGATTATTCTTGAAACATCATGGAGAGTCATTAACAGTGGTGGGCACAGCTAACCTAAAAGTTAGCTTCGATAACCGCTAATCCGCTAACTGAAAAGTTAGCTTCGATAAGGCTAAACCGATAAATCACAAAAAAATGTAGCGGAATTTGCCGCTAACCGCTAACCGCTAACTTTTAATATATAAATTTAGATTTCGCTTAATTTTTTTTTGGGGAGGGAACTCTGAAAAACAGGCCTAGAGAGCTGAACTTTCAGCCTTGAAAAGGAGCTTTCCAAAAAGATGTAGCATACCAAGATCAGATGATGATCAAGATGTACGTAACATAAATAATTAAATGAACAAATGAATTAGGCTGTAGTTGACATTCAACATACAGTTTATTAAACGAATAAGAAATATTAAGGTTACACCAGGGTTACACACTCCTTTTACTCTGGCTTGCTCTTCGCCTTCATCTCCTCGAGGTGATGATTGTTGCCCTTCATGAACATCAGCCTCTCAAAGTTGGCATCTGACAGGGTGGCTCTCTTGGAGCCTATGGAAAACAGGCGCTCAGCTGCAGCACTGGATGGGATGGCTGTGTTGTACTCAACGAAAAGGTTCATCCACACCTGCTCGCCCAAGAAGGCAACGTCAGTCAATTCCTCCTTCGAGCTGCTTTCCAGCCTGGTTTTCACCAAATTCTGTGCCTTGGACTTCAGTGACCATTGGCTCCTCCTGCACTCCGTGGGCTGAGTAATGCTGCTGAAGAAGTCATCTTCCCCATCCTCGTCATTGCTGGTGGTGCTGCTGTCCCTCCTCAACGGTCTCCCTCAGGGCTGTCTCCACGCCGGTCTCCATGGCTCTGTACCTTGCTGAGACGGCTGTGATTATGCTTTTCCAGCCAGAACAGGCGAAACTTGGTGGAAGGCCGCTGCCAGCTGGCACTCCTTGTCTTCTAGGAGGGGCCCAAACCTTTTCGTGATGCCTGCCAGCATTGCGTCCACCAGAGGACTGCAGTATAGGTGTGGGCGTGGCACATGGCTTACGATACTTAGCATTAAATCAAAGATTTTTAAACATTTTTAGCGGACTTCCAGTTAGCGGAACTAAATTTAGCGGAAGCTAATTGGCCCGCTAAAGGTTTTCAAAGTTAGCTGAACAGCTAATCCGATAAGGAAAAAGTTAGCTTCGCTAATTAGCGGTTAGCGGATTAGCGGAACTGTGCCCACCACTGGTCGTTAAACATCGCCAAATTCATTATCACTTGTTAACTATCATCAATACAGTGATGAAAATACGTGACCTTCAGTTACCAAGCAATCGGGACCTATAGTTGTCAAGCATCCTTAATCCCGAAACTGCTAACTTTACCGCTCATGTCTTACTAACTGACGAAGTATGATTACAGCCATGGAATATCGTCAGTACGTTCAGGACCATTAACAAGTATTCGCAAGAAATTTAATGCTATCGTGAAATATCCCTATGGTGTCATGAAATATCCCTTATTGCAGTCATTAAGCTAATCCACCGTTTAATTCTATTTAACGTTTTTCATTTGATTTCATGTTGGATGTCTGTCTTCAGTTAACCTTCGCTGATTTCATCGCGTACGAGATGTTCGACCAGCACCTGCTGCTGGCCCCGGACTGTCTCAAGCAATTCGGGAATCTTGAAGCGTTCGTCACGAACTTCAGGGAGCTTGACGCAATCAAGGCGTACCTCCCATCGCCGCGCTGCATCAAGACTCGTCTTAACAACCGCATGGCAAAGTTCGGTAGCGGAGTCTGAGGGCATCCTGCGTTCGGTGTTTGCGCTTCACTGGTGGAACTTTACTGCGATTTTTGGTTAATAAACATTACTGAAATCGCATTCATTGTCCTCAACATTAATGTAGCCAAAGAAATTAATTTCGTGAACTTAAGGTTGGTACTGGTGGCAGCGAATTTTTCATCTCGTGTAATTTTTTGAACGAGCTTCTGTATTTTTCTTGGACTTCTCCTCCAAGAAGGATACTATTGCAAAAATTTTTTTGTTGCTTCTGTCTAAATTCGCTCTGCATATATTTCGCAAGCCTTCTTTAATGAAATCAACTGGATAGTTTAAAACAAAATATTTGATATTATTCAGTATCAAACACATTCATATGACAATACTTAGCAGTTACGACTGTCATAATGATAGCGGTTTCAGCGTTTATTAGGCCGTATAAGGCCTGTCGCCGATTCTTAATATCGCAACCGCAGAACATTCACAGCATCTCGAACTCGCAACTCACTGCTACAATTCTGCTGTGCTTAACCGCCCGGCCTCATCGCCGATTCTGACCAGAAACTGGCGCACAGAGCTGGGATAGAACCCGCGCCTCTCTGCTCGGATCCAATCCTGGTACTCTGAACTGTAACCACTGGGCCACCCTGCCCGACGGTGATCATGCCAAATGAAAGACTGCTTCGACCTCAGTCAACACGGCCCTCAACTTGTTCTCGTTTTTATAATTATTCAGAAATTAATGGCATGGGGATGAAAAAATTTCAAATTATAGTTTATTCATAGCAAGGATCGACAACGTATTACATATTTATTTTATTACAACACTTCTATTTAACTTCACTTCTTGTTTGTCTGTCTGTCTGTCTGCTACAAATCTTGTAATCGAAATTTAACACACTTCTACTTATCCTATCGATCTGAAATTTTGCATACTTGTTTAAAGTTGGAGACAATGCATGGATCAAATGTCAAAATGAATTATTTTAAAAAGTAAAAAAAAAATTTCCAATATTAAAAAAATTGAAAACATAATTTTGTCAGCCACAAATCTTATAACTGATATTTGACACACTTTTACCTGTCTAATTGATCTGAAATTTTGCACACTTGTGTGAAGTCATAGGCAATGCATGAATCAATAAATAGAATAAATAATTTTGAAAAAAATTTATATAAAAAAATTTATATATTAAAAAAATTAAAAAATTATTTATTTTAAAAATCAAAAATTAAATGAGAAATTCATTGTACATCTGTAAGATTGGAGACACTGGATTCTTTGGAAGTGTTGTCTTTAAAAAGTAATTTTTAAACGTATATTATAATACTTAGTCCTGACAATTGCGAATCGAAATTTACTATCGTCGATTGCGACGAATTTCAAGACACTTGAGTTGTGTGCACTTGTTGCAAAGCCTGCATTTCATATCGTTGAAATGTCGCTTTTTCTGACAGTTTTGCTCATCCCTCAGGATTAACGCGGTTAACTCCACTCACAGGTGATAATATTGATAATTGTGGCATAATTCATAAGTAAACCAATACTTCAGAATTTCTTTCAATCATCGTTAAGTCGGAACCTTCCGCTTGAAGGCGAAGGTGCGTGTTAGTAGTGGTCAATAACCAATAAGTTCCAACTTCATCTACACTACAAACAGTTTATAATGCTGTTCGTGAACGAACACTTTAGACCGTGTAGTAGCCACTGAGGTTAAGGGGAGCGTCTTGCGTTTTTTTTTTATCTTGGCTGTTTACAGACGGATCACTCTGAAACTTGGTACACATATGTAAAACCGAAAAATAGACAGCTTTTATTCATGTCCATTTTTCGAAAAAATTGAAGCAATCGTGAAATTCTTAGAAAACGGCCAAAAAGGGGGTACTGTAGAAATCTATCTCCTCCCAGAGTTTTAAAATTACAGCGATGAGACATATACCATTCGATTCGCAATTAAAATATCTGTCTATTTATCATATTTTTTTCGAATTTTTGTGGATGTGGGAGCATTTTTTGCTTTTTTGCTTTTTTCAATATTCGCCCCCTTTTTCAAAATATTTTCAAAACTATAACAAAATTCAAATAAGCTACAATAAATCGATAGATATTTTAATTGCGAATCGAATGGTATATGCCTCATCGCTGTAGCTTCAAAACTCTAGGAGGAGATAAGTTTGCCGTGACAATAAGTTAAATTTTCAGGACAGCGCGCATCGGAATAGCCACTCAATGTAGCAAGGTTACCAAACTAAGCGTTACTGAAGCTCAATTCTAGTCAAGGATGGTGGGAGCGACTGCTAGCACACCTCCTCGTGCGACAACAGGAGGGCAACTGAGTTGTAGCTTGCCAGTCTCCAAATACACTACTTATGTGCTCTCGGCGGCTAATTGTCGCCCATCTTATTTGTTAAAGAACCCAACACCCACCCTCCCTTTCGACATCTCTAGTGAACGCATAAATCAACGTACAGAGATGGTTTTGGTACCGTTAAATTCGTCAGAAAAGCAGCTTTAAGATGAGTATAAGAATTGGAGAATGTCATAATTGGCCGCTTTACGTCAGACGATCCCCTTTATGGTGCCCGGCCGGGTAATTTCCGCTTTACCTAATCGGGCCTAACCTAATTTCAAAGGCTACGGTAAGGTGGAGAGGCGGGGTAAGTGATGAGGTAGGACCATGCTGGGCAAAACATCCATGAAGACGACATTGACTTGGCTGTAGCTTTGAGCTTTGGGCTCTACGGTTTAAACAGTTTGGTGCGGCGTTTAAATTCATAATCCGTGACTTCTTAACTCTATGGCTATTGCTAAGTGTGGCTGTGCATGTTTGGGCTGAGAGTTGGTTTCAGAAAATTCTCGGACATCTTCCGCCAGTTGTAGTGAAACAAAAAAGTTTAATAGCATATAAACAATGAACATATTTCGCTGCGCATGTGAGAGAACAAGGAGCAAAATGCAGTAATTCATGACTATTTCTACACAAATAATCAGTTACAAGCAGGCTAACGTAAATTATGATACTTTTGAGCAAAGAAAGTTTAGATGAAATAGAAAAAAGAATGAAGAGTGTGACTTTTAGGTAAAAAATATTCTCAAGTACAAACTCTCAACACACGACGGCAGACCTCGCGACCAATTATATTGTAGCAACCTAATAAAACTCGACAAGCTGACGACCTGTGTTCCTGAAATGACGCTTGGTCAAGATATATAAACTACAAATTAAAGAGAGTTTATAAGCCTCATAATCCTTAGGACATATTGGAAGTGTTTAAATTTTGGTCTATTACTTACTAAAGATCATGTTTGACTCATGTAAGTCACCAACAAGCAACACCGTGTTGTGCCATACAATACAATGTAACACTTTGCCACGCCATTTAATACCGTGTAACGCCATATAACTCTGTATAACTATAAATATATTAAGTAATATCTACCTTACACGACAATGTAAATATACTGCATGTGAGTGTGTAGAAAAGAACCATACAAATACCAAGAAAAATGAATTTCAAGCAAAAATTTGCGGCCATGACCATGAGTAGCTAGCTATTGAGTGGCAGGTGAGGCCGGTGTTGAGGTCGGCTCAGATATACACGAGTGGCTGGCCCATAAAGCTCTCAGTTCTCAGAACTGTTCGACGTTGCTGTTCGAGAAAACAAATAGGCATTTCTAAATGTAATATTCTTTTTATTAACTTATAATTATTCCTTCATAGTATAGATGATAGCCTGGAATATTGGACAGACTGTCTATAACTTTCAAATCTTGCTAACAAGGAATCGGAATATGCGAGGAAGCAAGCGAAACTGGGGAGCGGCAGGTCGGACTAGGGGGCAGGCTGGAAGGGATCAGGTAGGGAGCCATGGTTGTCGGTGCTGGCAAAGGTGCCAAATTTTAAGCTCAGTACCTAGAACTGTTCCTGCCAGTGCACACAAGATTAAGAGATTCTTATTGAAAACTCTATTTTTGAGTTCGATCGATGCTTAACGGCTGAATTCGTGTTAAAATGCTGTAATTGTCGATGCGAGTTGGTTTTAGAATGCTCTTGAAGTGCAAGTTTCCCCCAACTTGTGACACAATCCGCTTCGAAGAACGCGAGAGCTAGGGATGGCTTTTGCATTTATTCCCTTTATTCATTCCTACGAGAATAATGTCTTAATTTTTAATTATGAAAATATCGATAAATGAATTGCCCAGTATCCTGATAAAAGATAGTTATTCGTATTTGGAGAAACTAGCGGGCAGTTCGAGATAAATATAGACTTTTGCATTGTGTATGTGAAATTACAGTGAGTTTATTGGGATGCTAATAATAATTTATTAATAATATAAATATGCTAATAATAATATTGTAACTAATGCGTTGGGTCAAGTGTCGGCTGACAAGATCCAACACGAGCCGCAGAACATGCAGGAGCAAATATAGCAGATAATTTTAATGGGAAGTGAAGCTTTAAAGTTTGAAATGTGTTATTAAACGGAACGTGTCATGAAGTGGTATGAAACAGGAAGTCTTATGATATTCTGAAACAGAAAGTGTCCTGAGTGTTATCATTAAAGTGAGAGTGTTATATAATGGCTTCTGAAACGGAAAATGTTCTGAATGAGTTTTGAAACAAATGTTCGAATGCTTTTTCTGAGCCTCAGTGAGACTAGCGGGATTAACATCAAATCTCAATCGTATTTGGTACTCGAACATAGCTCGCAGCTGAGTTATATGAGCGTCACTGCATTCAATTAATAACAAATACTGGACAGTATGGATGCTTGTCGTAAGGGAATAACATTCGAGTCATGTATAACTTATGCAGTCGTGAAAATTTTATGACGAATTAGCTATCAAAGAATATGACGTCTTAATTTGTCCCCCGAGAATTCCATGCAGCTGATTTTATTCGAGCTTCCTTTCATCAGTCCATGGTATTCGCGCATTTCTAAAGATTCATCTGATGTCACCCCATTATTATTGCTGTCAAAACAAACCTCTATTTGAATAAGTGGGATTTTTCCATAGCGTTCCATAATTTTATGAACATTTTGCCCCACAGAGCACACACAGTATTATTTGGAATTTTAAGTGAATATCTCAG